TGATATCTTGGCGCCTCAGTCCAGCATCCGGCGAGCTATTGATCTGGTGCAGATCGCTTTTAAGCCATTGGAATTACACGCGCGCGGCCGTGGTTCGACTCCGCCTAGCGACACAACTTTTGCTGCATCGCCGGGCAATCTTCGATAGCGGCCACTATCCAATCGATGATGACCGCTATCAAGGATTTCGCCTAGCAAACGCAAAGATAAAACAAAAAAACATTTCGTTACGAAAATTTTGCGACAAAGCGAAATGGTTGCTACGTGAATTCAATGAAATGAACAAATGAGTCCTCGTTTTGGACATCTTCAAAAAAACCAGTAAAGTTTACAAAAAAGAGAAGAATTTGTTTTTTTCTGTCTTCCTCGCCAAAATCAGCTGTTCATCGATCCTCTCCTTTTCGGGCGCGGTTGTGCAAATTTGCGCCGATTTTTTCCGCAGTGTTAGGCAAATTGCTGTGTATCGTAAGTTACTCAGGAGCAACTTACGAAGATTTTCTCTGCGTTTCCTCTTTAGCACACTATTTCTGGACATCATCGCTCATATCATCTCCCATGACCCGGCAGGGAGATCATCTCCCTGCCGAACTTCACCTGAGGCTCACCTCTCAGGTGACCTTGCATCCCTATAGCATAGGGAAATGGGCGGTCGTCATTTTACTGACAGAACCTCACATGAAGGTCTCAGGGGAGATAATCTCCCATGACCGAGCTTTACTACGGGCCAATGTTAGCTGTAGGATGTGCTCAAATCGCAGTTGGGTTGTTCCAATGGCCATAATAGCCATAATTTGTGTCATAACTGCTAGAGGCCGTAGTTTTTTAGTGCATGCATCCTAGGTTCTGTCTGGTTTTTATGTATTGATGAGAAACTGTGACGCTCTAATAATAACTGGTGGCCGTAATAACAAAATAGAATATATAGCAGGTATTGTACGACACAAGCGGACTTCGATACTGATTCGACATTTACACAGTTTTATCAATGAAGCGGATCTGATTTATGAAAAAAAATTCCTTCGCAAAAGTAATATCTTCAGAGATGAAAAATCAAAAACACTTTACAACTTCAAATATTCTGAGGCATCAGAAATATTAGGTTGGTTCAAGATTAATGCACGTTTTCTCAACTTCCACTTCTAATGAAGATAATTCTTTTCCGAAACAATCTTTCTGCCCGCATCAAAAACTGTTGTAAACAACAAACTTTATGCTATACAATATATACTTTTATGTGATTGTACTCATCACGGGAAAGATTTTCCGGCGCAAAATTTACCGAGAATTTTTGTGGAAAGCTCTAGTTTGGAAGAGCATAACTTACTCTCAAAAGGACTAGAATGGAGAAAACTTTGCTCATTGTGTAGCCGATAGTCGATTCAATAATAGCGTAAAACTTGGCTTTTACCAAAAATTTTCTGCGAAAAAAATATTGCCAATGAAGCAAAAGTACCATTTTCTCCTGCATTTTAGAGAGGGCAAAAAAGTGTATTTTTCTGTTTCTTCTAATTTTTTGTCATATGAAAAACGAGGAGATTTTGCCGTTTTTCTATCTTTAGTAGTCCTTAATCTACTCTACCATAACCAGGTAAAAGTTCTGTAATCGCTTTTCACATAAGCATTCTATAGAACTCCGATTGATTCCAGCATTCAGATAAGTTTGGATCAAAGCTTCTCGGCTCAGGACTTTTAAAAAATTTAGCCTTGGCGAGCATTTTGTAGCACAAATCTTCGCGATTATAACACTTATTTTTTGAAACAAACTTGAGCATTTTTCATGGATTTAGGGCAAGTCGAATGAAAAGAGAAAATTTCAAGTTTGAGATCTTCACCTTTAAAGGTAAATTCGGTCTGAACATTTTAAGAGGAAAACGATTTTTGATTAAAAACTAGCGTTTGAAAGGTAGGAAAAACGTGCATCAATTATGAGCCAACCTAATATTTCCTGGGCATCAGAAATATTTATTTTAGTGCAAAAGCAGTGCCAATGTGATAAACAGTCTGTATCGTGCAAATGTTGATTGTCGGCCTTTATCTAATCAAACCGGGTAAAAACTCTACAAAGTTTGCACGATAACCAGTTCATTCGTATTCAACTGTATCAAGCGTCACCAATTTAGCAATCTCTTACAGTAAGCTTTTATAGGATGTACTGTTGCTCCCTTCACGATCTGGAGTTTACAGGGCTGAAACTAAACTGCTACTTCTTCAAAAGACTTCTTCAGTCTTTTACAAATATTGGCAGGAAGGATGGCCCGGGTAGCCGTCGTTTGCGGGGTGGGAGGGTAGAGAGTGGAAATCCTTGCAAGGTCTTGCGACGATGTAGCCATTCTACGAGAGACAAAAAAACTCCCGAATAAGCAAAAATACCACCAAATCTTTTTGATAATTACCTAGTATATGTAAGCTGCATTTTTTACCAATGGTCCTGTAACTGAAGCAGGATATGGCAATGACGGATACATTGAAAACTAATATGTGTTAGATTAATTAGCGTTATCTTGTGTCTTGTAATATAGGTGAATTTCAGTACTGCAATATTAGTGAAAATTCTGGCTTCAGTATTTTGCACCTAAGGCCCGTATGCACGTACATCCCCGCTGGGGAGGGAGGGGATCTGAGAGGGGATGCGTCATATCTCGCTACCCTACATATCTTTTCTCTTCTTTCTCTGTTTTGCTTATAAAGTTTCTCATACACTTATACCTGCGCATAATGGATGCCAGGTTACTTCCATACAAGATTGGTTTTTTCGCCATTTTGTGTGATCCCCAGGGATCCCCAGGAGATCCCCTGGGGATCACATGGCATATTCGAAGTGATTTATCTTCCTAAGAAGTCAATGAAAAAGCCGTAAAATTGTGCTGTGGATATACAATACCGCTCTCAGAACGTGCAAAATTTCCGTGAATGTCGCGGAAACCCCGGAATTCCGCGAAGGACCGCGAAATTTTCGGAATTTCGCGACATTTCCGGAATTTCGCGACATTCCGGGAATGTCGCGAAATTTTCGGAATATCGCGACATTTTCGGAATTTCGCGACATTCCGGGAATTTCGCGGAATTTTCGGAATATCGCCATAACTTCCTTCGGAATGCATAAATTCTGGATCTGAAAAAAGGGTTATACTCAGCTCATTAAGGCGAATCTTTTGGTACCTTGCCTTACCGTAATTGTCGGGGCACGATTGGTGCACGGTCTGAGATGAATTTTGCATTTTGGGAGAGGGGAGGTGAACACAATATTCGTGTCCTGTACTCGAATCCACCCCTTCTAGTAATAAATAGGTGCTTGGAGAGTACTCTGCGTTGATACCACTGCTTAAACAAGATAGAGAAGGAAGAAAAAAGATACCTAGAGTAGCGAGATATGACGCATCCCCTCTCAGATCCCCTCCCCTCATCAGCGGGGATGTACGTGCATACGGGCCTAACACAAAGCGGATTCAAGCAATAGAAGCACCGACGACGAAGCAGGGTACATTTTTGCAAAACGTATTCGTACCTCATTCAAACCTCAAATTATCATCCTCAAAAGTCTCAACACTTCGCCCAGGTTGCATTGAGCAAAAAGTCATACTTTTTGCGTATAGTTATCACGAGCATTAATAACCACTGCCGAGCCCACAAATCATCCACTTTATCGAATACACTTTACTATTTAGTATATTTTAGGAAATGGTTATGATCCCGAATGCTGGAGAACCATCAAAAATGAAATTGAGCAAAACATCTCATCAAGTCAGCTTCGAAATTCCAACGTTATCCTTATTTTTCTACATATCACATTGCAGAATGGACATGCCACAAGACTAGAAGTCCTAGTCAGCGTCAAACATGTGACATCTCCTGATATCTTAGTAAAGTACTCTGCGTTGATACCACTGCTTCAAGAGCTTAACATCATTATATTGATGAAAAGGTGGTACGACAGCACTGACAATTTCTATTCTCTCGTGTATTGGCAAAGATAATGGTTTTAGTGGAGGGTGTGCCAATTTGATAACGAAAACATCCGTACTAATAAATGATGCGAACTGCTATTAGCGGAGTCATTTTAAGTCTTTGTCCGTGCACTTCTTCACGCTCTTGAGTTGTTCCTTTTACCATACTTCCTCAACCGAACCAAAAATGCACTAACTCTGTGGTATGAATTTTTTCTCAACAGAAACGCAAGCAAAGTTCAATAACGAATCAAAAAAACAACATCTTTCTTGGAGGAAATAATAATGTTAACTAGGCAATCGCAGCAGATAACTCTTCCCAATCTCCAAACTCTAGCTCGTGCCTCCTGCATTTACCCTTGAAGGTAAAAGCAATTTTGCAAAATTCGTGAAAGTATCCCAGGAAGAGTTGGAAACTGTGCAATTATTTGCTTATTTGGTAGCTATTGCAATGATACTTGAAATCTTTGCAAATTTAGATTAGTCTTGTAAATGAATTTTTTTGGGCTCAATGTGATCAAGAACTGAGCCAGATACTGTCTCGATAGTGAGTCTCTCTTCAGAACGCGTCCTGAGCGTTCTTTGTACCTACCTGAAAACTGGTGCTTGAAAAGCTGACCTAACAGACAAGCATCATACAGTACCGTGTTTTTTTTTTTTTGAAAAAAAAAACGACGCATAGTTGTCCGATACATGTGACATCACCGTCGCATGTCCATATCTCGTTTCATTTGGACAATTCTTGATACAAGGGCAGCATTCGACTCAGCTCGGCGCGGCGCATCTTCTAACATATAGAAGTATCCGCTTGGACCATAGGAAGCCAGACCCACGAATCGTTTTAGAGTTTTGCTTAGGTAGTTCACTCGGTGTGCTTATTCATTGCACTCACTGGGCAACCTACCGTGAGCACAAAATTGGAACGAACCGTGAATTCCGGCCTCTTACTATGTTCAAGCTGGTACTTCTATATCTTGGAAGATGCGCCGTGCTGAGCTGAGTCGAATGGTGCCCTTGAATTAAGAATTTTTCCACTCTGAGGCGAGATATGGCTACGCTACGGCGATGCAACATATGTCGGGCGATTCTGCGTCGTTTTCTCTAAAACATGTGAGTGGATTGTATATTAAAATGAGCTATAATAATACCCAGCCAAAGAAAACAGGTGAAGATTTGGATCTTTCTTATTATATTGCACTATATCAATATCAAATGAAATTTGTGAACTAATCATTCTTCTTTTTTAGAAAATGATGCGTCATTTTGTTGCATTTTCACTACTGCTATTCTTTTTGAAAATCTCAGTCGAGGCGACTAAGTTCGTGCCGAACTATAAACTTTGCTCCCGTTTCGGTGATTCTGCATGCAGAGCACGTTGCTTGAAACGACTGGTATGCCTATTTATTTGTCTATTCTAATCATCAATTTGAAAATTGATTCATTGAATTGGAATTCAGAATTGCCAAAACGGACACTGCAAAGGACAAAAGCTAGAATTCAAGAACGGAGCAGTTGTTTTCCCCCCATGTGTCTGTGAGGATTGTCCCGGTGGTCAAAAGACGAAGAAGCTGCCTAGCATATATTAATATTCGTATTTTGCGCAGAACACCAGTATGAAGTTATTATGATGCAAGTTATTCAATGTTTCCACCACACAATGATATTATTCAAGTTATCAGCAATTTTAACATTTTAGCAATGTACGATGGAATAGCTGGTATGCTTATCTTACCATGCTAACACAATTCTGTTATTGGCCCCATTGTCACATGTTCAAAATAAGTAGATTCATGGAAATGCACGTTGAATTACCAACTGAAAAACACACGTTTGCGATCTCCTCGCCAGCCTGTCCATTGTCAGCATTATACCTAGTACACGTCGATGACCGTGTGCATGCGCGCGTATGCACGCCGGAGCTACCATTTAGCACTTTCGCGCATAAGACGTATGCACACTTGTTTTACAGGTGTAAAAAAAGGTGCTAAGGTAACATATGCAGTAACAATACTGGTGGCCCGATTGTCATATAGAGTCATTGCGATAGCTCTACAAAATTTTAGAACGCAAGTTTAGCTATTAAAATATGTCAGTTGTGTTTTATTGACAAGGAAAGCATACTTGGCCGAAGTGGAGTTTCCATATGAAAAGTACAGCGTCTTATAGCTCATGGAACGCTGACTCCGAATCTGCATTTGTTATCTGCAAAGCTTTTTTGGAAAGGGAATAATGGGAACGTTTTTAAATAAAATTCAAGAGCTTGGCTGAGGTAAAAGCAGGCGTTGAGTCTTATCAATGCTTGAAGGAAGTAATGACGGCATAAACCGTTGGACTGAAGCTTATAATTACACTGAGCACCCTGGCAGTAATCATAGCCCCACTTGAGCTCACAGGCTACACGGATGATTTTATTGTAGCTGCGGGTCCAAATTTCTGTTTAAAGAATAGTCCCATAACTTTCCTCCCAAAAGAGCTTTGCAGATAATGAAAGCAGATTTGAAATCAGTGTTCCATGCTCTTTAATACAATATACATTTCATATGGGAACGTCATTTCGATCAGGAATCTTTCCCTTGTGAAAAGGTCGGAAGTTGTACAACTGTTCTGAAAGGAATCAAAGATGGGCTCAGGCAAAAAACACTCAATATTATAACGCTTTCCTCGGAAAGAGATTCTCATACACAGCCATTGCATAGTTTATTGAAAAAGGAAATGATGCAGAAATCTTCGTGCATGTAATTTCTGAAAGGGCTCTGTAAGATACAAGTAATTTTAAAGATAATAGTTTGCACGTTGCATGAACAAGCGTCAAAAAGACTTCCACATAACAATTTTGTGCATACGCGCGTATGCTCGAAATCATTATATGGAAGTCTTTTTGACAATTTAAAAAACGCGCACGGTTTTTTTTCAAAATCACTGGATCACAGAACACGTCAGTGGGAGGGATGTCATCAATCTGTTAAATAGATCGGGCCAAATTGCAATTACGTTCTTCAAAAAACTGCTTGCAAGTGGGAAGAAACACTTAAAACGGAGATAACTCGCAATCAGATTATTTAGTGGAAAGTTTACAGTCAAACTCGTGATTCTCTTCGGATTTGCTTTATCTTCAATTGTCTACAAAATTTGAATGTCTGCATGAACAGAACTTGCCAAAGTAGCGCATCACGATTAGTACCAACGTTGACTTTGTTCATATAACTGTTGGTCAAGCCTTTTTACCAAAAGTCCCCGTTGGTGAGTTGATATGCAAAAGCCCAAAAAAATTACTCTGCTCATTTTAGTTCTCCTTAATGACCCGATCAAAAATGCAATGATTTATGCTATTTGAAAAACAAAATATTGTATTTGAAACAACATTAGGGCATCAGGTGTCACCGCTATAGCGCTCTATTTTGGATCACGATCAAGAGATGCTAGAAAATTTTTGCGTTATCCTAAATGAAATTGGATTACATGGAGCCAGATCGTTTTAAGCTAGTGTGGCTAATCTGCGAATCGTCATGGTTTGCCTACAAAATAATACATTCTCTAATGTCGTTCCTCTGCGGAGGTCAAGTTTCTGTCCTTGCTCACTTCGAGAAACACATGATTTTGTGTCATTTAGAGTATGCGCATAGCATACGCGTTACGTAAAATAAGAACTTTACTTCATGAGCTATTTAAGCAGTGTTTTCCTGCATTTTGGTACATCTAGAAAATTTACTTGGCTGTATTACGTTTCATGTACCAAAAGTGATTCTTTTATGACTTCTCTTTCTTTACTGGGGAGATAGCGCTGAAAATGCCTCTATTTTTCTGAATATATTAGGTAATCTCATCCGCGGTTTTAAGAGGAAACAAATATGATGAAAGAACTCAGAGACTGTTCTCTCTTCAAAGTTTGCATGATTGATAAATATTCGTTGTAGATTTTTGTGCCATAGGAAAACAGATTAATTGTCAGGTGATAATGGCTCTCAGAATTTACTTGAATTTAGCTCCCTTAACCTTCATAACCTTAATTACCTAGCCAAACCAGAACGCAAATTTTTCACGTCTGCCGCTCTTTAAGCGACAGAAGAACGCCAGCGTCTGGGTCGATGGTTTCGACTCGCTTATAAGGAACGGGTGGAGCAGGGTCGAAATTTTTTACTTTGCGTATGTCACAAAAACAAAAAAGTCTATTTCCGCATTGCTATAGGCAGCAGAATTGTTCGGATCCCTCCCGCATTGCCATTTTGGAAATGACGTGAAGTCAAAAATTCAGGCTTTGGAAAGCAGAAGATGAAAAGATGGTAATTAAAAAATTACCATCTTTTCATCTTCTGATTGTTGCTTGATTGTTTCTACTAATTTGATTTCTGTGTGCTACTCCTCTAACAACCTTAAAATAAAATGCCATCAATTTTTTTACACCAGACAACGGTTTGTTATTCACAACTTCTTTGACAAGCTGCATGTGAGTAGTTCATGACATGACCTTACAAATCAATCTATTCGCAATATCAGAAAGGAAAGAACCTTTTGTTTGAGCACTTGAATGTTGACCACTTAGTTTTCTCTTCTTAACTAACCTAGGACTGTCGAATCAACAGAAAATTATTATTTTCGTTCCACTTTACTTATGTAAGACGGACGAAAAGAATGAGAAGAGCTGCTCCATGTTTCCGCACTTACATGCATAGGTTTGGTCATCAATAAAAGTGCTGACTAAGACATTTATGTACTCTCAGGGGATGCACAGGGAGAGAAGTTTCCATGCTAATTACCGTGATTTATATCATACAGCCTCAACTACTTCACAAAGATAAGCATTTTCTTGGAATTCCAGGTGTGTCACAACAGAGCAGTAACATGGAAAGGCTCTTTGCGATGTAGGGTAGAATTACGCAGACATCATACTGCATGTATCGTTTAATCGTGAATGATGGTAGTTTATGTCTGATTAGCTTGTCAAATTGATGTAGAGGTGGCACTGAGATCAAAAAGAAAACTTGCAACTTTCCAACTTTTGCGCAACGCTGCCAGTGAACAGAAAGATCTATAGTTTTGGAAATTTTCACTTTGAAGGATTGAAAGTCAATGGAAATTTAAAGGCTCATATCAAAGACATCTAAAGTATTTAGCAGCGCTAGATTCTTGCGGGGTTTATACTGCAGAAAGGCGTTGCCAAGCTCGCGTAATCTCAAAAACTATTAGAACCAAAAGTAATGACAGTCCATTCAGATTGAAACATTTTAAACTGTTCTTTTTCCAATTATGTGTGAATCGAAACTCGCATTTCGAAAAGCAGAAATAGTGTATAAATTCTTTCACTGACAATCAATAATGGTTAGAAAAACGACTTCAGAACAGTTTTTTGTTGACTAAACCCTCATGAGATATCCTTGTACTAAATAGCAGGCCATGTACGCTTCTACATAATTATAAATTGAGACTAAACCGTCGGCTCTTATCGCGCAGCATTTGCTGCTACTTTTTTGCGAGCAAAGTGCCTTGTTTTAGAATAAAGAAAAGAGGTCTAACGTTCCGTATTCTATTAAAAATCAAAATTGTCATTTCTTTCTTTTGCAACATGAGTTTCTTTTTATGAAAAAGCAGACAATGATTCATAATCCTTACTTTTCTTGCACAGGTAGTGTTACGCTTAGAAGAACCGATAGCTGCGGATCAAGGAAGGCACAATCTTTGCCCTTGAACGATGTAATCAGCTTTAAATAAGAAATAGTCATTGATAATTGAATTTTAAGACGCTTTCGAAATTTGCTGGTGTTCGGTGCATTTATTCGATAGCAATTTTTTTGAAGTGAAAGACTTTCAGAAAGATTATCGAAGCCACCAAAGCTGGTTACAGAATGAGAATTAATCACGGCATTATTGAGCACGAGGCATGGTGCTGCTTTTTTGAGAAATTGTGACTCATATTGTATATGTGTATTTGTGCCGGTAGAGAAATTTTATGTTATGAGGAGGGGGGGGGGGGAGGAGGGGCGTGGTGACAGCACTTTTTGAGGGGTGCGTTAGCCACAGTCCGCAAAGATTTTTGAGATGCATTTTGATCTTGCAAAACCCAGCTCCGAGATTTCAGGAAAAGGAAGCGTATTGGTAACGAAAAGAGCTTAAAAATTTTACAAGACTGACATGAATACAACAAATTACACCACACTCGACCTCTTAATCACAGGTAAGCATTCGACTCATTTGACTATCTCAGTCCGCAAAAAGCATCTGACATCAGTTACTTTTGCGCGTGATGTTAGTAATATTAGAGAGTAACTGTAAAAATGTCTTCTATGGTTCTTTTACCCTAATTTCACGCGTACAAGGCGCGGGGTGGTCCTAGCTTTCATCGAGCTGCTCAGCCGCCCCAACGTGTTTTAAGAAGCGATCCTTATGCCGCACGATTCGTCAGGCAAAACGCAGCACGGTATGGAGTTCCTTTGGTTGCGAAGTTCTTTGCCGTGTTCGGCTGGTCGATGAAAGCTAGGACCACCCCGCGCCTTGTACGCGTGAAATTAGGGTAGTTGCAAAAACATAGTACGAACAATGATTTGGTGAGGTCTGCCAAAATGGAAACATTATAAAAGTGAGAGAAACAATTATGTGGAGTGTATGAGTTGCCTATCAGTATTCATTCTTTTCTTCAAGTTCAAAGATTTCATTTCTTTCTTTGACCAAAACTTTCTTTCCATGTTC